TATTATGTTTGTACTCGAGGAAATACATTCACTGTTCAACAAATATTCGATCAATTGGCTTCAGCTCCTAGCATAACACTTCCATCAACTGATCGAGGTGCTTATGCAAATATGTATGGTGTTTATACAAGTAGTACTAATGGAAGTTTATCATTTGTTACTTATACTGGTATACAAAATAGTCATATTCAATTTCAGACTGAGATTTCTGGTGTTTATCCAGCACTTAACAATGGACTTGGATCTATTCAATATTATAACAACTCAGCCACTATTTACAAAAATATTGGTACATCATTTCAACCACAACTTGTGCCAATACTTAATTTTTCATCATTATCGACACCTTATACATTTGCCATAACATCACAATACATATATATAGCTTATGCAAGTAGTCATACAATTATGACTATTCATGATTTATCAACAGGATCTTTGTTATTCAGTACATCATATCCTACTACTCTAAGTAATCGACCAGCTGTAGGTTATTGGAATGATACAATTATTGTTCTTGATCAATATGTAGCTATGGAATATACTTTAAATGGTACTTATAAAGGAAATTTGACTTATTTTAATGGTACACAAGCAGGAGCTCGTCATTATATTCATTATGATTATGCAGGACGACGATATACATGCAATGGTAGTGGATCATTTTCTGGTATTTATACATTTTTACTTAATGGAACACAACTTGCTCATGGACCAGCAACATGTTATAGAGCTTTTCAAGTTTATATCACTAAAGACCAAGCAATTCTTATCAACATTCCGAATATAGCAACCATGAAAGTTATTAACTTTAACTAAATAAATTTTAATTTTAATAAAGTATTTTTGCCGATTCAAAATAAATTCAAATAAAATATATTTATTTGAAAATCTGAGAGTGAGGATATGCATGAGTATGTGAATACTCGATGAACATAGCACCCACGCTCATCTTCGCAAGAGCAATACTAATAACAAATGTCAGGTAATACATCTCGATAATTTTCGAATACTCAAGACTAGCTACTGAGTTTTCTTTTCCTGTATAAACTATAGAATTCCAAGTATATCCATTTGTATCAAATACTTTGTAGATTTCAATACCATATTTATGCAATTTATTCGGAATATATTGCTTGTAGAAGAGTCGACCTCGTAAGGGCACCATTATTTCATCATAATAGTAATAAGGGAATTGGGTATACAAACTAACTTAAATATGATTTTAAATAAGATCAAAAGTGAAGTCAACTTTGCTAATCTGTTTTGTGGAGTGTTAGTGTTAGAAACAGTGGAGTTCAATGTATCAAAGAAGTCATACATTCTCTTTATTATCATGTTACTATTTTAAATAGTAATCATTATTTTATTCATATTTGAAATTCCACTATTTATAAATATATGATTAATTTTTTTCCATTTTTATGATAGTGATGAAATCAAAAACTAGATTGTTATCACTAAAAATGTTTCATGTATCATTCAGATTACTAAGATTCAATGAAGGAATAGAAATGTAATTTAATTTGATGTTATTAATAATATCAATAAAAAAGCGATCAAGGATGTGAATGCTTATTTATTATTATTATCAAATTGATTAGTTACATGAATACAACATTAGAAATTAAAGTAAATAGAAAATGATTAGGATTTTTTTAGTTACTACTGTTCTTTTCACTGATCCATATCATTAACATCCCATTAAGTTTCAATTCAAAACTGCAAAATAATCGAACGAATAAAGATAGCATCGACTTTACAATCAATTATTGATCGATAATTTTAGTTCTTACGTTTGTGAGAGTCTTCATTGAGATTTAAGAAATTTTCTTATGTCTTCAGACGCTCCATAGAGTATTATTTAAAATATATTTCAATTGAGGTTTTTTTTAATCATTACAAGAAAATTTTATCATAAGTAGATTAAATATATATTTATATTTGTTTTTTATTCAATAGATTTATAATTGACAGAGATTAATAATATATTATAAAATCATTTGTTGATAATATAAAAACATACTTTATTTCATTTAATTTTTAATCGTATTAATTTAAAAATTTTAATTATAATTCTAACTTTATATTCTATTGTTAAATATCAGAATAGGTTACATTGAATGCAGTTCAGATCAATAGCGAACTATTGGAGAAGCCAATCGAGAAATTGTTTCACTTTGAGGAGACATGGTTCAACCCAGTAAAAGTAATGCATTAAAGAGAAATGAAAATCGCAAAACGACATCTATATAATACTTTATTCGATAACATACGGATATTCTATATAGAGACACATCCTTTTTTCAAAGAAAAATAGTACAAATGTGAAAATATTTGCTTTCAATATCTAATTCAATACGATATGGATATTTTCATTTAAAGAGATATTATTTTTCAAGTTCCACTTCTCCTTATAAGTGGAGATATGAATAAATCATTTCGTGTTATAATTTATTCATTGCTGCTGGTAAAAAACAATATCTATAAGAATATCCTCTTAGAGGCAAAAAATAAAATGAATCAAATATCTCTTTATATATCTTGCATTTCTCCTTGAAGTGAAACAGTTTCTCTCGGTTAAGGGATATGGTCCATCCCCCGGTTAACCCTTTACCCCCTGGCGGGTCATTTTTGACCCATTCAAAAAAACATTTTTAGAAAATAAAGGAAGCATGAGACTCGAAAACTCCCAAAACAATATTTGTAGGGAACTCCAAAAGCTATCGATTGGCAAAAAGAATATTTTGTTTTGTAGCTCTGTCTCCGAGATAAATGACTTTTAAAATCGATAATTTCGAAAAAATATGAAAAAAAAAAATTTTTTTTTTAAATCATTTTTCTACCTCTAAGCAATATATATCTCGGCGGGTGGGTGTGTGATTTACATCGAGGGAAATGTCTACTAGTAGATTATATACGTTTCAAAAATTTAAAAAGCATTAGGTAGGTAAGATATGTTAAATCAGACAATGGTCACTCGAGGATTTCAGAAAATCAACGCCTTAGGTTCTCGACGTCCACACCCCGATAATAACGTTTTATTTAAACCATGTAATATTATAGAGTGAACAATTCTCTACAAAATAAGACGTCTCCGAGCTCTCTAAGATGTTTTTTTGCGGAACTACATGAGTATTACGGAAAGTCTCTGAGACTTTTTTCAGGTCGATCCCCGTACCCCCCCTCAACAAACTACCGTAAAACTCAAGTCTGTGTTTGATCGATCTGCCCATACTTTTAGCATATTGGAGGCACCAATACTCTATTCCAATTGTTGTTTCATCAGTAGCTCTTCTAGAACCGCGCCAGGGGGTAAAGGGTTAACTAAAAAATTAAATTATTATTCGAATAAAGATATTAATGATTCTAAAATAACTTTAATCTTGTTTTTTTTATATGATTATCAATATTATTTATTTATTTAACAGTGAATATATTAAATTAGTAGACCTATAATAACTTTCGATAAGCAGAGAAAAAAACTCATTTTATCTAAGTATGTTGATATGCTCATGTTTATGAAAATATTCATTAAACTAATAATATTTAGATTTTATCTTAAACGTGTTGATTACACTGTATTTTCTTATTTCTTCCGTTCGTATTTTGATGTGCTACACATATTTGATATAAAATATAAATATAACTTTATTTTTCTATCATATTGATAATTATGTGTATAATCGTGCGTGCATGATCGAGCGTCCAACGTTCGAATGAGTCATCTTAGTTATATTTTTTTTTCCTTTCTGTATTACCTTACAGGCAAAATAGAAAAAAAATGTGTGCTCATTCAACCATTTATCCTCTTACTAAACTTATACCAATAGACAAAACATACACAAATTTTTAATATTATTTGTAACTAAATGAAATGACTGATAGAGAACCATTATTGAAAAAAAGTGCTAAATTATCCTATGATGCTGATAATGATCAAGATAAACGACGTAAACGACGATTCTCACTTAACACGTAAGATAAAAAGAATAGTAATAGTCGTAATTTGTTTTTCGTAATATAAGTAGAGAAAGAGGTAGAAAGGTTTCGATCATCCTGTATTAAACAATTGCTTTTTGCAAAGTAATATAAAGTAGGTCACTTTATCTCTGATAAATAAAAACTTTCATACATGAAGATTTAAACTTAAAAAAAAGAATATTTATCAATTACGATGTTAAAAATGAAAACTCTATTTATTTTTTTTTGATAAATCATAGCATGAAGAAAATAATATATATTTACTATTATTTATAGTTTTTCCGGTTGGCGTCAATGGTTTTTTAAGCAAGAGGATACTGTACAAGTAGTTAATGATCCTGATGGGATAGACACTAATGAGCTGGTTCATGTTTTTGAATTAGTAAGTCTATCTTCTTAGAGAATATATATTGATTGATATATTAAATTTAATTGTAGTTTCGTTTTTCTGATCGTACTGACTATATATTGATGATTATTGTCATGTGTCTATTGATAGTATTTGTTGGTGGTCTTACAGCTAGTCAAGTTGTTTTTGGTCAGTTGATAGGATTATTTGCTCAAGTATCATTTACTGAAAATTGTAATCTTCAACATCAAACTTTGGATATAAGCAAATATAAATGTCCACTGGGTATCGAACTCAATTCAGCGAGCAGTACTCGTCTACTTAAGTAATTAATTACAAATTTTATTGTCTATAGTTCGTCGTTTTTACTTTAGATTGTGTCATATTAACAATGCTACGTTGACATCAAATTCAATTCCAGTACCGTCTTCGTTTCGAACACAAGTTATGCATCCAATTCGTTGGTTGTTTAGTATGTCTAACGATTGAAATAGTATAAATAAATAAGACAATTTATTCTTTCTTTGTATATTATTATAGTTATTGGTGTGGTTGAATTTATATGTGGTATAACTTTATATGTTCTCTGGACAATTTCAGTGAAAAGACAAGCATCATGTATGAGTGTTCGTCTCTTTCAATCTATTCTACAACGGGTAACTATGATGTACTTTAAACTCACATTATTTATATTCATGAAATATCTTATGTTGACTAGTAAACAAGAAAGACGATATTAAGCAATAATTGCTTTAATAATAGGTGAAAACGTGGGTGTAAATATCGTTTCGACTGTATTCACCTTTTAGGTTAATCAAAATAAATCCGTCAGTCACACCATGCTTACCTGAGTTAACGAAATGATTTTCAAATAAAAATATGACAGAAAACTCATTTATATTTCTGAAAAAAAAGGTTTTCAAAACATGATTATGAAATATTATGAAAAAAATTTATATATCTCATAAAATCATAGTCGAAACTAAAAACCAGTCTGCAATAAATATTAATCAGATAACTTGAGAAGTTATTTTTTATATAGTGAAAATAAATTTATTTCTATATTATTTTTTAGAATATTTCATATTTTGACAAAAATCCAATTGGTAATCTTAGTTCCAAACTGTTTGAGTGAGTTATTTCAATATTTTACGTAAGTCAATTGTTTTTTTTTATAGTAATATACGAAAGATTGAAAGTGGTGTTGGCAATGAATTTTTATTAGTAGTTGGAGTATTATTTTGTATAACCTTGAACATAGTGGTATCATTTATTGTCAATTGGAAATTGGCATTGATGTTGGTGTGTATTTTACCTCTAATTATTAGTACATCGATCATATTTTCAAAGGTATGCATTTGTTACTTCAATTAAATGAACTTCTATAGATTTTATTAGATAATCGCTGTCGAAGAAATGAATGTATTGAATTCATATTCAAAAGCTGGACAAATTGCTGAAGAAGTATTTAGTTCACTTCGAACGGTTCATTCACTCAATGGTGCTAAATTTGAACAAAAACGGTAAAATTATTTTCCAAGAATAATTTAGTCAAAAAAAATTATGTCTGTCGTATTTAGATACGAAAACGAATTGTATCCTACTACTCAAAGTAGTATTCGACAAGGTTCTGTATTTGGTATATTTGCTGGTTGGTTATCCTTTGGTACATATCTTGTTTATGCAGTCGGCTTTATGTTTGGATGCGTGATTGTCACTAATCGAAATTCACAAACAATGAGTTTTACTGATATTACTATCGTAAGTAATCCTATTAACGTAGTCATCTAATTTGATTCAGTTATAAGCCTTTTTCTTTGCATTTTATCCTCTTGACTAATACAAATGAAATATTTTATTTGATTTTTTACAGGTTGTTACCGTCTTTGCACAATCTATGGCTCTATTTAGTTATATTGGTCCATTTCTTCAATCAGTTTCAGAAGCTCGAGGTGCTGCAGTACCAATATTTCGACTTATTGATGCCGTATGTTACATTATGTTTATTTCTTTTATAGTGTATTATAATCTATATTTATCTCCATGGTTTAGGAAGACGATGCAAAAATAAATGAACCAGAAATATGGGAAGACGATAAATCCAATAAACAACTCGTTGGTATCAATGCTGATATTAAATTTGATAATGTCAACTTCGTTTATCCATCTCGAAAAGATATGTCTATTTTAAAGAACTTTAACTTTACTGCTCGTACTGGTCAAACAACTGCTATTGTAGGCTCAAGTGGTTGTGGTAAGTCATTTTTTCATAAACAAATCAGATGAATTGATCAGCAGCTACCAGGATTTATATAATGTAATAATTTATTTATAGGAAAAAGTACATGCCTATCACTTCTTCTACGTTATTATGAACCTTCATCAGGACGTATTTTGATCAATGGACATCCAATTCAAAATTACAATCTTAAACAATTTCGACAAACGATTGGAGTTGTTAGTCAAGAACCTGTATGTTATTTTTTTTTCTGTTGCTTTCTCTTTTATTTATTCATTTTTGCATAGATACTTTTTGCTGCTAGTATTTTTGAAAATATTCGTTTCGGTAAAGTAACTGCTACACAAGCAGAAATTGAAGAAGCAGCACGACAAGCAAATGCACATAATTTCATCATGGAACTACCTAATGTTTGTAGTTAACATTTAAATTTATCTATATACATATTTACTATTTAGAAATATGAAACGCTCGTTGGTGAACGTGGTGTACAATTGAGTGGTGGTCAAAAACAACGTATCGCTTTAGCTCGTGCTCTTGTCAAACAACCCACTATACTTTTATTAGACGAAGCAACTAGTGCACTTGATAATGCTAGCGAAAAAATTGTTCAAGAAGCACTTGACAGAGCATATCAAGGTCGTACAACTATAGTAATTGCTCATCGTCTGAGTACAATTCAAAATGCTGATCATATATATGTAGTAGATAAGGGAAGTGTGATTGAAGAAGGCACACATGAAACATTGATGGCAAAAGAAGGAGGTAAATATCAAGAAATGATTAAAAATCAACAAATAGACAAAGTAACTGGTGATGAACATGATACAGTCGGAGAAGTAAAAGTAGATGAAGAAATTGAACAACAAACTGGTACGTTAATATTCTATTAGTAATAATTTTGATTTTGATTCTAAATTTATAGGTGAACGATCTCGTCTATTTAGTGATAAACAAGTTGGTGATACAAACGAAGTAAAAGCATATATAATTTAATATACAGAAAGTAATCGTTAATTTTTTTTCTGTTATAGGAAAGTTCAACTTCAGAAGATGAGCACGCTGTTTTTCTAAGACTTTTGTCAATGAACAAACCAGAATGGTTTTCTCTTCTCGTCGGTGCTATAGCAAGTATAATCAATGGAGTATCTATATTACTCTTTGCATATCTAATTGCTCATACCATCCATGTAAGTAATATATTTCTTTCTATATTTTGCCAAAAAAATAATAACTTTAAAACATATTTTTCAGCATTTTACCGATTGTGATTACAATGAACGGCGTCGCAAGGTATTCATTTTCTGTTTACTCCTTGTATTAATGGGTCTTCTTATATGGACGTTTCGTTATATTCAAGTAGGAATATTAATTTAAATCTTATTTTTTATTCTAACTACCTTTTGTTTTTTAGTACACAGCTTTTGCTATATCGGGATCAAGATTAACGGAACGTATTCGTTCAAAAGCATTTGAATGTCTTCTTCGACAAGAAGTCGCTTATTTCGATCGACCAGAAAACAGTACTGGTGCTATATGTGCTCGTCTTTTTACAGATGCATCAGCTGTACAACAAATGACTGGTACAAGATTAGGTGTTATTTGTGAAACTTTAGCACTTATCTGTTTCGGTGTATTATTTGGTATTTTCTTAAGTTGGCAATTAACATTGATTGCTTTGTTTCCATTTCTTCTTCTTATTCCTGCTATGTATCTCAATGTTCGCTTAGAAATGTGGTTAGATGGAATGTGTAGTCGCATTCGTGAACAAGCAAACATGGTAAAATCAGATTATTTTTTTTTCTAATTATTTTCTCATTATTTTGATAGATTGCAGTTGAAGTTATTAACAATATGCGTACAGTTAAACAGTTATCTGCAGAAACAGAATTGTTGAATAAATATTCTGACCTTATACATCAAACAGACAAGTTAGTCTATTCAATATGTATATATAAATCTTTAATATATTTGTTTTACTATTTTATAGATTATATCAAAAATATTCTTTACTATCCACAATACCCTATGGTTTATTTTGGATGCTTGATGCGTACACAACGGCATTTCTATATTGGTATGCTCTTATACGTCTTGAAAAGAATCAATTTACAATAGATCATGTCATAGTGTAATTAAGACAATAGTTAACTAATTGAAAGACAATGTATTGTTCTATGTTTATTTTTCTAGAATTATTGCTTTTGTCGTTTTTGTTATGCAAGCAATGAGAAGTATCGAAACTATGTAAGAGATCATCTATATTTAGTTAATATTTTAGTTTATTATAATTTTATATAGGGCTCAACAAATTGGTTCATCTTTATCTGCGGTTACAACATTTTTTAACTTATTCGATCGAATACCAACTATTGATAATACATCAGAAGAAGGAGAACACTTGGTACGAGTTCAAATAAAAACCATTCGTATTTTTACTATTATAATGTAATTTATACAGGCTAATTTTCGTGGAGAGATTGAATTTGATCAAGTTCAATTTGCCTATCCTACTCGTCCAACAGTTACTGTTCTCAATAAATTTCAATTAAAAATTAAATCAGGTAAATGAAATAAGATTTTAGTTTACTTTAATTTTATTCGTCTGTGTCTCTAATGCTTATCTAGGTCAACGTGTGGCATTTGTCGGTATGTTTAAACTAACCGTTTTCTCATTTATTATCAATACAATATATTTGATTTAGGTGCATCTGGTTGTGGTAAATCTACTACCACTCACTTATTGGAACGATTCTATGATGTTGGACTTGGTCAATTAGTTAGTATTACTTCTAATAAATATATTTTGTCTATTATTTAAATAATTATGTAAATTTTAGCTTCTTGATGGTACTGATATTCGACAATTGAGTATTCATTGGATTCGTTCTCAATTGGGTCTTGTTGGTCAAGAACCAGTTTTGTTCAATTTAACAATTGCTCAAAATATCGCCTATGGATTAGAAAATATCCCAGAAGACGATATTATTCGTGCAGCAATGAAAGCGAACATTCATGACTTTATTCAACGATTACCTCTAGTTAGTACAGAAGAAAAAAACAAATTTATTATTTACGATTATTAAATTGTATTTTTAGCGTTATGAAACAAAAGTAGGAATGAAAGGCAGCTTCTTATCAGGTGGTGAAAAACAACGTATTGCCATTGCTCGAGTACTTCTGCGACGACCAAAAATATTGTTATTAGATGAAGCTACAAGTGCATTAGATTCATACAATGAACAAGTATAGTTATTTTTTATATTTTATAATTGAATACTTTAAAGTGATCATTTATAGGTAGTACAACAAGCACTTGAAAAAGCTCAAACAGAAGATCCTAATCGAACATCATTGATTATTGCTCATCGTCTTTCAACTATACAATCATGTGATTTAATTTGTGTTATTGATAACGGACATATAATTGAAAGTGGTACTCATACAGAATTAATACAACAACGTGGTGCTTATTATGCAATGCTTCCTAAAGATAATTTATGATGCTAAATATTTAATTTTATAATTAAAAAAATTATTTTAGCACACATAAAATAAAATTTTGCTTATATATATATTGATTTGTTCAAGAGTATGCAAGTGGTGAAACGATAAACTACTAAAAGCCAATTAAGCAAACGACAAATAATCTATATTTCTCAAAAGTTTGTGTGAATAACAATGACACAATACTGTAATTGTTTTCAGCTATCTAATGTCTGTTTAGCAAACTGCTTAATAATTTTTCATCATATATTTCTATTAAATAGATTGTACCAATAATTAGTTATCCACTAAATTCTTCGACAAAAATTATTCATCATGGTACCCGTGCAATAGAAAAATAATAAAAGTATTTATAAAGACAAGTGAAAAATCATGTTATGAATCAAATATCATAACTTTGAAAAGATTGTATCTTATTTAAATAAAGTATTCAATCGATGAAATTCGCCTTTAAATATCAGGTGAATTATCATATATTTTTTAAAATTTTTAGATTTTATATGAAACGCGTTTGAAAGCAAGTCAAATTACTAGAGCATTTATACGCGTTTCTGAAATAAATTGTGTTTAAACGCTTCGTTGATTCATTGGAGATGCGTTCATTGTTAGCGTTTCAGAGACATTTGGAGGCCAAAAATATCTACATCGGATGTTACCGACAAAGAGACAACTTAGTGAAATGAAATGGAATTGTCAGAAAAAAAACATGCGCAGGCAGCTTTTATTTATCTGTCATCTTTTTATATTTTAACCTTCATTTGAACACTTTTTCTCTTATCTAACTTTCAAAACAAGTAGTTCATTAGTATAATAATGGATTCAATACGATTTTGGTCATATCTTCTTCTTATTATTCCATCAATTATTTGTTCATTATTTGTTCTCTATAATCTTTTGTTCATTCGTACTCTACGTCTTGCTCTTAATAATCATATTTTCATTGTTCTTCTTTTCATTGGTTTACTTCTTGAAGTAACAATATATCCATGGATGCTTTTTTATTATCACTTTAATGGTATATGGCAACGATCAGTTATTTTTTGTCAAATCTGGGGATTTCTCGATTGGGGAGTTTTTGTCCTTTATATAATACTTCTTGCATGGGCTACAATTGAAAGACATATTCTTATCTTTCATGATCGATGGGTATCAACTAAAACAAAAAGAATGTTTCTTCATTATCTTCCTATAGTTTTCCTTATTCCATATAGTCTTATTTTCTATATTATTATTTATTTCTTTTCACCTTGTGAAACAATGGTTTTTGAATCTCCAATGATTTGTTTTTTTCCATGTTTACTCTCGGCTAGTTTCATAATTATATGGGATGGAATAATTCATCAAATTGTAACTGTTCTAATCATTATTATATTTAGTATTGCTTTACTTGTACGTGTTGTTTGGCAAAAATATAGAATACATCGAGCTGTAGATTGGCGAAAACATCGAAAGATGACAATTCAGTTATTATCTACTTCATTTCTTTTTCTTATATGTTATTTGCCATTTACAACAGTCTATGTTGTGAATCTATGTGGAATATCAATAAGCAACATTCAAGTGCTTTTAAATTATAGTATATTTTTAACTTATCTTACCGTACTTCTATTTCCTTTTGTTTGTGCTTTATCATTATCTGAACTTCGTACTAAATTAATCAAAATCTTCAAATTTCATCGACAAATAAATGGTGTTGGCCGTGCGCCACCAGTTATGAGATTTACTACAAACAATCGAGTGGGTGTTCAGTGAACAAAACCGTTTTTTTATATTCATTGTTGTGTTGTAATAAAAACAAAATAGAATCATATATTATTAATTAGAAACTATGTATTTATCTTCGCGACCAATAGAATAAAATGAAAAGGAATGTAACAACTTAGATTTAATTAAAAATGCGATGTGATAAACTGGTAGCAGTGACTTGAATTATATAATAAAAAGGATTTATTTAAAGTACCTCTCATTAAATTTTATAGACTACTACAATGAAGGAATGAAATAGTTTTTGTATTTCCATGTGGGTGTATATGGTAATGCAAATAACACCCAGTCTCTTGTCCGTCGCTTCAACATTACCTAATCAAGTCCATGGGGACTTTCTTAGTGCGTTTGTATAACCCATATCTTTGTCTATTTAAATGTATTGCAAACGAAAAAAAGCAAAATTTGAAATATTTGATCTTGATTAAGGAAAATAAATGAAACGTTCGTGTTTATTATAAAATTGAATATTTGAGTAATTGATTATTATAAGTATCTATAACATATAGATTTCCTAATGTATCCAGTTTAATGGCACTAATATATGATGTATTCTTAGCCATAATAATGATTTTCAATTGACGAGATAAAATATCATATTGATAAATATTATGATTTGAATTAGATCCAAAATAAATATTTCCATAACAATCTGATGTAATACGTTCGGTTGAAGGTAAATTTGAAATCAATGTCAAACCATTTGTTGAACCGATAGACCATTTTTGTATTTGAGAATTATTATCATCATAGAAATATAAAATATCATTTTCATCAAGAAATAAACCTCGAGGAGCTATATTATTGTTCTTCTCTGCATTTGTTGTTATATTTTTAGCCACAATTGTATTATAGATATAGTGTGGTGATAACCATTTTCTAATATATCCATTATTATATTCTGATATGTAAATATTCAAATATTTATCTAAGAATGCATAAGCAACATCCGAAGTAAATGATTTCTTTTCATTATTATTAATAATAATTTTTCCGAATAATAATTCACTCTGCCAATATTTTATTCTATAATATTGTTGAAAATAGTTACTTTGATCATAATCTAATATGTACAAATCATTCGTATAACGATTCACAAGCACAGATGAAGGTGATGTTAATCCATAATAAGGAACAGTTGAAATAGTTTTATTTAAAAAATCATATCTTTGAATACGATCATTGTTTGTATCTGCAATGTAAATATTGTTATGTATATCTAAGAATAAATCACTCGGATGGCACAACTGATCATCATCTGAACCACAAATTGAATTATTTCCAATCAAGATATTAGGTGTTTGAGTCCAACTACTATTCTTTGACATAAGACATGCTGGTACTGATAATGTAATATTTTGTGTTCCATTAGCTATGAAAACAAATATTTACACTTTTATGGTACTCAATATAGAACAAGGGTTATTCGGAATTAATGATGTGCATTTTAATATTAGAAAATTTTTTTTCGCACTATGAAAAACGTTGCAAATTTTCAATCTGTTTCATATTTAAGATCAGATATCAATGTTCAGTTTTACTGTCATTAATAACACCTTGATAATAGTATTAAATCTAATTAAGAATAAGTGATAGACAAACCTTGTACACTGAGTTCATTGTCGATAAAATAACTTTTGATTGAATTATAAGAATTTGCAATGTAGATGTTACCATTTGTTGAGTCAAAGGCTATGGCTTTTAAACGATTTAATCCATAGATGGAATCTGTATTATGAGTACTTATAATGGTAATGCCTTCTAAACCTGTTATTGCAGTTGATCCATAATATTTGATAATACTATGTAATCCATCAACAATATACAAGTTGTTGTGACAATCAACAGCGATATCTACTGAATTTGTAACATCTTCTGCAACAGTAATACCAGCTTTTGCTCCAGAAGACCATCGTTGTGTTCGATTATTTCCCTCATCCATAATATATAAATCATCATTAATATAATGTAGATAAATGGCACGTGGAGAATTTAATTGATTTGCTTGATTACCTTTAGTTCCATTTCCAGCTACGACACTGTAATTCTCATAAAATGGTGCCAACCATTTTACCACTCTACTATTATTATATTCAGAGGTGAATATATTTAAATTCCAATCCAAGGAAATACCAAAACAAAGACTATTGGTATTATTAATAATAACAATACCTTCTCTGGAATTATTCGGCCAGAATATTACGCGATATGAATTATTAACATTATGATCAACAATATACATGTTTTCATTTTGATCAACAAATATTGCTGTCGGATAGCGGAGTTCTGGACGAGTATCGACTCCATTTCCGGCAGCTATACTTTCTTCTCTTGAATATGATTTATACTTTAAAATACGATTATTGTATGCATCTACGGCGTATAAATTATCATTCTGATCCAGAAAAAGATCTAAAATTCTGTACAATTGGTTGATATATTGATCATCAAGTTTCACATCACCTGCTTCATAATATACAGGAATTAACGGAAGTGAACAGTTTTCTGTAGAGAAATTTCTTCTATTTTCCCATGGTCCTACTAAATGAATGAAAGATTTTTCTTACATTTTCATTGAGAATAACAGAAAAGTTCAATTCAAAAAGATGACACGTTTATAAGATTATTCTCTTAGTCATACATTGATGTACATTACAGCAGTTTCGTTACAGTTCAGTTTATCTTCTGTGTTAGTCACTTAAAGTGTTGACAATCACTCTCGAATACGTTTGTCATTACTTTTCAAGAAAGTCCTAATTAATTTAACACTTTTACTCTATTATTAATCTATTCTACAAATAATATGATTAGTTTACCTGTTGGTATTGAAATTATTATTTGTGTACTAGGCATTGACATAGAAGTTGTTAAATCTGTATGCATATTTTCACTTTGTCTTTCCGATTCGTCCCGTTTTGATTTTTGAGTTATAACAAGTGGTACAATAACAGATATTGAAACACAAATAATTATGATAAATACAATTATATATATAATCATTTTACGATGCATTAGAAGAAAACTACGAATTGTAAATGGCTCTGGATCATAAATAGGTTCCAGAGGAATGAGAAGATTCTGAAAGTTATCCCACATAGTCCAGCAGTAGCAAATAATGAATAAAAATGATTTAGTGAATTTGTTAAATATATTTGCTAATCTAGAATAAATAAAAAGAATTTGTTTTCTATTAAGAATACCATACATACAATAAATAGAGGTTATTCATTATGCTGATTCCAAACA